CAGCAGCATCYYRTGATGCATCCCAATCCTTGGGATTGCTGGAGCCCAGCGTGTCCCAGGTGGGCTCTGACATCAGGGATGCAGGGAACAGCAARCTGAGACACCCACCATGACCTGCTCCCTTCTGCCAAAATGTGAACCCCAGCTCTGCTGCTACTCAAGAAAAACCTCTGCCATGAATGAGGGAAAAGCTCTTCTTGATCTTTGCACAAAGCACATGAAAATTGTAAGAAAGGCAGAGGTAATGTGGTTTCACTTCTTCAGCTTGTGGGTTTTTTCCTTTTTGCATATCTCATTCCACTTCCAAGTTGATTTTTTTTGAGCTCAATTCTCTTTTTTCTTGTCCATCCCAAAATTTAGCAGAGATAGCTTAAAAAAGAATTAAACAAATTGCCCTAAATGAAAGACTGCAAGCAATACAAAACAATGCAAAACAAACAAAAAAACAAAAAAAATAGTTTCTTTGTCATTAAATTGATGTCAGCATCTGTGGAAATGAAATATTTAGCCCAGGATTCAGTGCTTATCCTCCTGGTGTCAGCTCTAATCCRAGATGCCACTTCAGAAAACGAGCAAACAAACAGAAAATAGCCCAACCTTTTCCCTTCCGATGCCGGTTCTGAAGCTGTACATTTGGAATTTACAGTTTCTTTAAATTGGTGAGGTTCTGTGCCCACACCAGATTTTTCAGGGTGCTCGCCATGTCCCACCACAGCTTCCCTTTCTCTCCTCTGTCCCTGCCCCCAGCTCCCTCTCCGTGTGCTCATCCTGCTCCCAAATCCTGACAGCGTCCCAGAGGGGCACTTTGGGCTCTGTGGGGCACTCAGGGTTTTCAGGTTTTTGTTATTTTCTCTCTCTGCTGCTCCAGCACTTTCTGCTCTGCTGGGCACCAGGGAAGGGAGTGGCACAGAGGAGGAGCACTCGGACCTCTCCAAACCCCTGCCAAGCTCCAGGCCAGGGGTCCTTAACACAATAATCCACCTTGTTAGGACTCTTTAAACCGACCTTTAAACAAGCTCTAATGAGATTCTGTTTGGGGATTTGGGGTTGGTTTATTTTTGGAAGCAGGAACAACAAAAACTCAAATATTATTTTTAGCTTTGGACACCCCAGGAGCACCAACAAATCCCAAAAATATTCCTGAAAAGCAACACAGTGGGGGTCTGCTTTAATTGTAAATGCCACAAAAATAGTAACCCCAGGAGAAGTCTTTTCTTCAATGCTAAAAGCAAATATATTTTTCAGCCAAAATACAGGCTGATGTAATAGATTTGACCTTTCTTGCTGTCAGCTGTCAACCCAGCACCACMACCATATTCACCATGTCCTCAAGTGTCACATCCACRCATTTTTTGAGCACTTCCAAGGGTGGTGACCCCACCACTGCCCTTACAGCCTGGTTCAGTGCTTTACAACCCTTGCAGCTGAAGAATTTTCCCTAATATCCAACCTAAACCTGACCTGGGCACAACTKGAGGCTGTTTCCTCTTGTCATATGATACCTGAGAGAAGAGACTGRCCCCCACCTCCCCATAATCTCCTTTCAGGCACTTGTAGAGAGCAAAAATGTGCTTTTCCTCCAGCTGAGGGTCTTGCACTGATTATTTGTTTTTCAGGGACAGAAGGTTTGATCTTTCCCTTGTCACCAGACTAGGCTGGGCTCCTCACCTGGAGTCTGGCCTGGAGAGTGTCTTCACTTCAGCCCAAACAGGCCAATTGTCCCAACCTCAGGAAAGTTTTGGTCTCCCTGGAGAGCTGCCAGCTGTCCCCGTGTCCCTCTGCATGATGATGATGCTGGGAGTCAGTGCTGTGCTTGCTTTTAGTGACCACAGCAATGTTCTCAGTGCAGAGCAGCCTGCAYGTGTTTAAAGAAGCAAAATCAGGCTCCCCCTGGCCCCCAGCCCCAGCCAGAAATGAAAAGTGCAGCAAGGTTGGAGGGGAAGTGGCCCAGCTGGGTGTCCTGCCTGYCTTCAGCAGAACCATGAGCTGGCCATGTCTCAAGGTGATTCCTCCCCAGTCAGCCCAGTCCTGTCCCTGTGGAATGGGGAAGGAAGGGGTTCAGGGGGGCAGAGAGGCACTGGCAGCAGTCAATCAATCCTGATCTATCTTTTTCCCATGAATTTATGTCCAGTCACAGCTTAAAACAAATGACATTTAAATGATYAACAGCAAAACGAAACACAAAAATCAGCAGAGCAATATTTCAGCAGCTCRAATGCTCTTATTTGGTCCATTTCAGGATTTACTTTTCCATTTGAAATTGTCATCTTCTTTCAGGCTGAAAAAAATGCATACGAAACATGGAAACCACACCTGAACTGGAAAAAATATTTCCCTCTGCTTTTGAATGGCTCCTTTCGCAGGCTGCCAGCCACCCACCCAGCTCTGCACAGTCCCTTTGGGCAGAGCACTCTGCCAGCAGCTCATTGCTGCATCCCCAGCCCCGCAAAATGCTGCTGCTGTTCCCATAAAGGCCTGGTGACACAGTGGGGTGCCCAAGAAGCTCCTTTGTGATAAGGCAGAGCTGGCTGGAGGGCAGGAGGGCTCTGCAGACAGATCTGGACAGGCTGGATCCATGGGCTGAGGCCAGTGGGGTGAGGATTGACCAGGCCAAGTGCCGAGTCCTGCCCTTGGGTCACAACAGCCCCTTGCAGCTCCCAGGCTGGGGCAGAAGGGCTGGAAAGTGTCTGGTGGTAAAGGCCCTGTGAGTGCTGGTCAACAGCAGTGAACATGAGCCAGAGTACGCCCAGGTGGGCAAGGGGCCAATGGCACCTGSTCTGTACCAGCCATGGTGTGGCAGCAGGACCAGGAAAGTGACTGTCCCCCTGACTGGACACTGCTGAGGCCACTCATCAAATCCTGGGGTCAGTTTTGGGCAAGAAAGACCYTGAGGGGCTGGAGCATCACTTTGTCCAGCCGAGCACAGCAGGGAAAGCTCCAGGAGTGCAACCCCTGAGCGTGAAAGGAAAAGGTTCAATCAGTGCCTGTGTCCTGCTGACCAAGGAGAGCAAAGGAGGGACACAGAGCAGCCATTCCCTGTGCTGGGGCTGGCTGTGGAGCCCTGAGACTGCCAGTGCTGTGCCTCAGGAGCAGGAGGAGCTGCTTTAGATGCTAAAAGCTGGCACAGGGGGTGCACCAGCAGAGGGTTTGTGCAGGTGTCTGTCTTGGCTGCAGCTCCACGTTACGTAAAGCTGATGCAGTTTGCTGTGCAGACAAAGCCTCTCCTGGCTAGAATGTGAGGGATGCAGGTTTGGGAGAGCACCAGGGACGGGAAGGGGCGGGCTGGGAGCTCTGATTCAGCCCTGTCACTCTGGGAATTCCTGCAGCTTGTGGAGCAGTGACTTTATAACTCCCCAGAACCGACTGTGCCCATCCCAGCTGTGGCTGCAGTGAAGGAATGTTCTGTTCCGAGCCCTGGACATCTCCCTCTCCCYTGGGATGAGTTAGTCCTAATGCCAGCCCCATCTGCTCCTTCCCAGCTTCCCTGAGGAAAGCAAAGCATTTTCCACCCTCTGCTCTCCTCACAGAGAGGAGAGGAGAGTCTCACCTTAGACTGAGCTCTGTTCCAGCTGGGCACTGGGAAGGCTGTCCAGGATGAAGCCTATCCCTGTATTTCTGCTTCCTGYAGACAGCTGATGGCCAGGATTGTGAAGGATTTAGGGCCAAGCACCTCCACATGGCTGCACCAGCTACCCGAAATGGCAGCTTATTCAGGTGAACTGTGCCAGTGTGGGTGCTCTCAGTTTGGGCTAAGATGTGTTCATTTTGGAGGCAAGGAAGTTAATTATTATGTTTTCCTCTGACTAATTTTTTTAAAAAGGAGAATTAGGGCATCCTCGTGGCATTTGCCTGTGTATAAAGAAATGCACTTAAAAGCCTGGGTTTAAATAATTTGTTGATTTTCTTTTTGGGGATTGGTTTAATTATACTGGTTTAGCAAATGAGGTCTTTATCATGTTGGATGCTGCTGTGAAAAAGTTATTCTTTGTCCAGTTATTCCACTAGAATTGTACTGGTACAAAAATTCCACTGAGAATATAAGAAAAAAGAACAGGAAAGAACCAAAAGAAGTAAACTAGACACAAGCAAACAATCGTCTGCTCAAACTCACACAGAATTTTTAAATGTATTTATATTATCTATATTATTTATATTATTTCTATTGTTAAATAATAYRTATATAAATATAAAWATAAAATTCACTTGTGGGTGAGGGAGGTGAGGCCCTGGCACAGGGTGCCCAGAGAAGCTGTGGCTGCCCCTGGATCCCTGGCAGTGYCCAAGGCCAGGCTGGATGAGGCTTGGAGTACCCTGGGATGGTGGAAGATGTCCCTGCCCATGGCAGGGATGGAACGARGTCCTTTCCAACCCAAAACTTCCTGTGGTTTTCTGATTGTCTGAAATCAGCCCAAAAAGAGCCCAAAGATGCACCGGGAAAAGGCAGAGTGATCCTCACTCTGGGGTGCAACCTYCAGAGAGCACCATGAGCAAGTTCCAAGGGTCTTTTTGGACTCTGGCTTCAGCACTGACCAAACCTCAGACACCCAGGARCGTATTAAGCAGTGGGCATGAGAAGACAGCAAGTTAATTCAATTTTATTACAGYTGAGGTAGATTTAGATCTCTACCAAGTCTGGCACCGCTTCCTATTTTTCACCCAAAGTGTTCTCTTCAATCTTAAAAATGGCTTTGATATGTGCTGAGTACCAGAGAGGCTGTGATCAATTTGTTAGAATGAGTTTATTAAGGAAGAGAGTCCTCAGAAGAAGAAATTGGGAACATGGCACCTGTAATTATCTCTGTCAATTGAGATGGATTCTGAAAACCTGAGCTTCCCCTCCCCAGCTCTGCTGCAGCTCTGATCTCTCACACACACTCTGCAGCTCTGAGCTGGGCTGGTTGATCTGCTTTCCTCCCCTGAGCACTGGGAGATTCCTTCCTCTCCTCTCCCCTCAAAACAAATACACCAAATTGCTGGAAATTTTCTTTTTTCAAGTGGACCCAACCTGTGTGCAAGTCTGTGTCTAATTTCACAAGCAGCTTCAGCCAAAAGCATGCAGGATTTGTTTTGACATCAAGTGAAATGTTCTGAAATGGCCTTTTTAAAACTTTCAGCRCTAAGGCAAATTTTGTTTAGCCTAACATTAAAAACCAAAGGAGATGATGGAGGACATTCTTCTCTTCCTTTTGAAGGAACCACTTAGGCCTGACTTAGTTTTACCAAAAAGGCTGACCCAAATTTCCTCTGCTTTCTCTGGGTTCAGCCGCTCCCATGAGAAGTGGGCTGTTCAGCCAGCTGTAACTCWCACATCTCTGCTGCTCTCCTTCCTCCTGCCCTGCCTTTCCTCCTGCAAGCTCTGTCGCCTCCTTTCCCCACCCAGTTTGGGACCAGCTCCCACTAAACCCCCTGTTTGTGTTCCAGTCCCTTCTCCCAAGGCTGTTCCTCTGTGGAGGGCTATTTAATCGTTTGGCATAATTTCCTTATTACCTAGCACCACCAATGTATGCACACATAATAGGAGTGAATAATGAATGCTAATAATGCACAATTAATTCACGATCAGAGCGTGTTACGGAGTCAGCATTGGAGTGGGATCAGCAGAGGGAATTCCCCATCCCCCTCTGGGCTCCTGAGGAGGGGTTTGGTGGGACCTGAGCACGGTGTGAGCCTCAGTGCCTCCCTCACCACCCAGAGAGGGTCTGGGGGAGGAGGAGACGCTGCCCCTGAGCACTCAGAGCGCAGGGAAGGGCTGGAAATCTGGGAACTGCAGTGCCAGGAGCTTTGGCACCGTGTGGAACTGGGCAGGGGATCAGCTCCTCCCCTACCTCCTCCTCATCCTCCTGACGCAGCACAGGACATCAGACCAACAGCAGCTGTTCTCCAAACCCCGCTGCTCCCAGGGAAGGTGCTGGGCACAKCCCCATCCCTGCAGCTTAATCGCATTTGTGCCTGTGTCCCCATCAGCCGGGCTGGCACTCACACACGACAGCTTTGATCTCCCCAGCCATGCCTGGCAGGGCCAGGGCTGCCTGCTGGGCACCATTAAAGCCCACTTGTTAATGGAGCTGATGGCTGAGGCTCTGTGCTCCGGGGCCAAGAGGCAGCATCAGCCTTGGACACGAGCAGGACAGGGCTCCCACAGCCCCAGCGCCTGTGCTGCCATCCAGGGACAGCCCACACCTCCTCCAGCTCTTCCCTTTGACTGAGCAGCAGCAAAGATGCAGATGGACCCTGGCTGGACCAGCCAGAAGGATGTGATGGGAAAGGAGGGTCCAGAACAAAGCTATTCCATCCTCCTGAGTGCCACTGCCTGTCCCCAGCTGACAATTCCTGTCCATGGGGACAGGGGGAACATCCCTCTGTAATTTACAGGCTAAGATGTGCTGAGCATGGACCCCACGTGTGTCCAGCACAGTCCTCCTGTGCTCCCTGACAAGAGGGCAGAACTCTGCTCTGTTCCAAGAGGGCTGTAGGCATGGCTGAGACCTCAATTCCATGGGTAGACATGGCTGAGACCCCAATTTCACACTGTAGGCATGACTGAGATCCCAATTTCATGTGTAGTCATGGCTGAGACCCCAGTTCCATGCTGCAGGCATGGCTGAGACCCCAATTCCATGGATAGATATGGCTGAGACCCCAGTTCCATGGATAGATATGGCTGAGACCCCAATTCCATGCTGTAGGCACATCTGAGACCCCAATTCCACACTGTAGGCATGGCTGAGATCCCTGTTCCATGCTGCAGGTATTGCTGAGACCCCAAATCCATGCTCAGCCTTCACATCCTTGCCCCATCTGTGACAATGAGGGATGCAATGACACAGATTGTTGGAGTTGTGGCCCGTGAAGGGG